ATGGGTGGAGAGACATCAGTGAAGGTCTAGAAATGCTGGTGTGAGACCCAGGTGAGAAAGCAAGATGGGTGTCTACAGCCTGAAAGGAAAGAGGTACAGGCATAGGACAGTGTAGGACAGTCTGCAGTCGAGATGGCCAAGGGCTCTGGCAAGGCTGAAAGGCCACACAAGACCAAGGAGGGTTTTTTCCCTTGGCTAGGACAGTTGCATCTGCCACTGAGGTCTACAAAGACAAATGGTAGTTTGACGTTCTGCTCTTGGTTTGCTCCTCAGCCCTTCTTGGCCAAACCAGGACAGGCTGTACAGTTTTCCTACTCTTTGCATTGCTCACCCTCACACCCCACTGACCACACAAAGAGCCCTGAGCCACGCAGGAGGGACAGGATCTGCCTTCAAGGTCAGGGCTTGGCCTTTCTGCTGCCTAAAACCAACCAAGGATTTGACAGTGTTACAGCCACTTGTACAGTGCCTTTGCCTCCCTGCAATCATGGCCTCCAATGAGCTGCTCTAACGAGTCCCTGGGGAGGCTTCATCAGGAATGGCCCTCACTGGGGCCCATTAATACTTCAAGGTACTTTGAGTTTGGCTTCTGACTGGGACTTCCTCAGAGGTTTCTTCCATCTCGTCTCTCTGTAGATGAGCTTCATGGACTCAACCCAAAAGACACCATGCGCTCCTGAAAATACAAAAAGTCATCACAATCTAATTATCTTCATTCAAAATTCTTCAAGTTTTCAGGACTTGTGCAGTTCCTTGGAGAGCTTTTACAGTGCAGTTAAAGAGGAAGATTTCAAAGGGCACCTCCTCAAAATGAAGTTTGATTTTAAAGGGTCTATTTTATTACTTTTCCATGTAGACGAAGTCTGCAAGTGATAATGATCCCTCAGGAGGTCTCCTCAGGAGGTCTGGAGAGGAAGGAGAAGCAGTCCCTGAGGTCTGACACTCTAGGGACAACCTTCCTCCACACCTTCCCAACCCCGCCATTGCTCTCAACAATGTGCCCCTGGCACTTCCATCACTCTTCCTGACATCAGACTTCTCCACTGAAGCCTGCAGCTGCACGTTACAGCTCCTTGGCACCATCTCCCCCCTACTCTCCTTAGAGAACTGAATGCACACGGGCACTGAGGGATGTTTTCCTATTGGCAAGCAAAGAAAAAACAAAGCATGACCAAGTTCCATAAACAAAACTCACTCTGCAAGCACATGCTCAGTAGGGGTGGCCTCTCATGAGGTTGCCTTTCGACAAGGGATAAGCTTAGGAGAGATATTTTAAGTAGGTGGATAAACAAAGGTAGATGAAAACACAAATAAAGAGTTGTCTGAGGAGACAATTATACTGCTGAAAGACAGGCAAACTTTTAACTCCCTGATGTCATGTCCTGCATGACAGGAATGTGAATGAAGAAAGAGTAAGGGGAGGATAAAAGTGGACACAAATGGAAATGGCCTTTGCCTTGGTCGTCTGCATGGGGAAAGATGACATTAGTAATTGTCATTCAAACAAGACAGGTGAAGACACCGAGGCGAAGGGCTCTGGAGCGGAGGATCACGCTGGGGGACCCTTTCCTAAAAGGTAGAGGTCGCTTGCGAGTGAGGACAATCCAATGTTACACCCATCTTTGAAAGAGTTTCAAAATGCAACCCAGGGAACCCCAGGCTGTACAAGCTCACTCTGGTGACAAGCGTGCCTTGGCACGAATGCTCTTGGGTGACTTCTTAGGGCACCTAAGAGAGAAGAATGTGTCCCACTGCAGTCAGCATGGATTATCCAAGGGTAACTCATGCCTCACCAACCCGATTGCCTTCATGAAGAAGTCACTGCTTCTCTGCACCAGGGGAGAAGAGTGGATGTCATTGCCCTCCACTTCAGCAAGACTTTGGGCATGGTCTCCCTCACTACCCTTGTGCCCACATTAGGCCATGACAGTCTGGAAAGAGCTGGGTAAAACACCAGTTGGATGATGAGGCTGAACAAGCAGCACTGAAGGGGTCATCCCCTCCCTGGAGGCCAGTGGGAGCCTTGTGGGGCAGCACAGGGGACTGTCCTGTGCAGCTGAACGCCTGTATCCATGACCCGGAGGAGGACACTGTCACCATGTTTGTCACTAGCACTAAACTGGGAGAAGCATTCCTGTGCCCTAGGTCTGCCCTTCAGGGGAAACCTGACCCGCAGAGGCACTGTCCTGTCAGGAACATGATGAGACAGAAGCAGGACAAAGGCCAGGTCCTTCGCCTGGGATAGCCTAACCCCCTGCAGTGGCAGGGCCTGGGGACTGCCTGGCTGGGGAGTAGCTCTGCGGAAAAGGCCCTGGTGGTGCTGGGGGACAGAAGGCAAAGCCTGATCCAGCAGCATGACCTGGTAACAAAGGCAAGTGGCAGTGTCCAGGAGTTCTCCTCCGCTGGAGGAGGGAGTGAGCACCTGTGGGGCTGCTGGGCCCTGGGCCAGAGATAACCCGCATAGTAAGGAAGATGTTGATAACTGGCAGTGAGTTCGGTGGAGGAGAGTCATGGAGATGCTCAGGGGCTGGTCCACTCTCCTGGGAGGAGAAACTGAAGGAAAGGGTCTTCTTAAGCCTACTTTGGGACCCTCCTGGTGACCTGACAGTCCCTAGGGGGAGGATTTCAGGAAGATGAAACCAGTCTTGTCACCATATTGCTTGGCAGGAGAATAATAGACAATAGTCAAATGTTGGAATAAGGAGGTTTCTGGCCAGCGGTAAGGAAATGACACCTCTGCAGACCATGGGGTGCTTTAGGCTCTAAATCAAATGTAAACAAATCCTCTGAATTGTGGTCTCAATCAATGGAGATTTTCAATAGTTGTCATGGCAAGGCCACAAGCACCTTATTGAGCTGGAGCTGTCTGAGAATGGTCCTGGCTGAGAGTAGTGTCATAAGAGCTATGGGCTTGGGTGCATAATGAGGGCCAGTAGGAAACTGGTTCCCTTTTTATTGATCATGGCAGTGGAACTGGATATCAGTAAGCCGCAGAGGACAGGGGTGACCATGCAGCAAAGGTCCCTTGTTAGGGCTGGCGTGTTTGGCCAGAGATGGAAATGGTGTGTAGGACTGATCTGGGACAATTTTGCTCGGGCAGCTTCTCCAGGGTGTACAGGGACATGGCACAGACCAGGACCCTCTCTTCTAAACTTATGTGGCCTTGCATCTTCCACCATGTCACCTGGATCTGCCCCTACCCGCACACTCACACAGCTCAGCTCTACACTGGCGTTCTTTTCTCCCCAGGCTCCTTCCAGAACAGACCAGCCCACCCCAACCTCTCCCCACCTCACCTGCCCTTGCCCCAGTCCAGCCCATCAGAGCAGCCCAGTCTGGGCTGGCTCAGTGTCCCTGCCCACCACAGGGAGCTGCAGAGCTCTGGGCACTCACCCCACAGCCCCAGTCCCTCTGAAGGGCACAGCAGCTGCTGGTGGGCAGAGAGGGGCCTTCATACTCCCCATCAACCCCAGGCCTGGTGCTGATGGGGATGAGCTGAAGGGCATGAGCAAACAGAGGCTACTCACTCCCTGGCTCTCCTGAATTCAGGCTGTAGGTGATGCCCAAACCCACCTGAGTTTTTGCCCCCTCCTCTGCTCCCCTCCAGCCCTACTCCTCACAACAGCACCAGAGTCCTGGCCCTGGGGGTCCTCAAGCAGCTCCTGCATCTCTCCAGTCTCTCCTCCCTTTGCCTGCAGAGTCCCCGCTGACTGCAGAGCCCTTGTTTGAGCATACCTCAGTTTAGTGCTTTCCTTTTGGGGGACGTCCCCTTTGACGGTGTTTCACCTTTTGTGTCTCTGTTCACTCCCACCCCAGTGCATTTGCTGAGTCCCCATCATCTCCTCACCCCTCCAAAATCATTTCCAGAAAGGCTGCTACATGCCCTGAGCTCTGACATAGGGGAAGCAGCCTGAGGAGGTAATGGGGAGCTCATGCACCATCTCCACTGCCATTGGACACCAAGAAGAGAGCCTTTAAAACCAGAACTTTCAGTTCAGTGGAACCCAAAGGTACCATGAGCTTAACCATTAACAGAGGGAGAACCAAGGAGAAGAGATTCTTTAAAAGACCAATTCCTTGGACATTTTATTTGCAGTAACACGGCAGGAAGAGCCCAGCCTCCAGACGCTGTACCTGGGAGAAACCATTTTGTTGAAGAGCTGCTATGTGAGAGGCCACAAAAGACACAGTGTTGTGCAGGGGTCAGACACAACAGGATTAAACCTCAACAGAAGGCGTATAAACCAAGAAAATGATATATAAAGAGTATTATCACAAGAGAAAAAAAGCAAACTTGTGGCCTAAGATGAACTCTGATAAATGTGCAGAAAACGGGTGGGAGATCATGGTCTGTGAAACAGCATCCATTGTGCCACTTTCCATAGGGCCTCCTTGAGCTCCTGGTTCCTCATGCTGTAGATGAGGGGGTTCACTGCTGGAGGCACCACTGAGTACAAAACTGCTACCAGCAGATCCAGGGATGGTGAGGAGATGGATGGGGGCTTCAGGTAGGCAAACACTACAGTGCTGACAAACAGAGAGACCACGGCCAAATGAGGGAGGCACGTGGAAAAGGCTTTGTGCCGCCCCTGCTGAGAGGGGATCCTTAGCACAGTCCTGAAGATCTGCACATAGGACACCACAATGAAAACAAAACACCCAAAGACCGCAAAGGCACTGACCACAATAAGCCCAAATTCCCTGAGATAAGTGTCTGAGCAGGAAAGCAGGAGGATCTGGGGGATTTCACAGAAGAACTGGCCTATGGTACTGCCCTTGCAGAGGGGTAGTGAAAATGTATTGGCAGTATGCAGGACAGCATTGAGAAAGCCACTGCCCCAGGCAGCTGCTGCCATGTGGACACAAGCTCTGCTGCCCAGGAGGGTCCCGTAGTGCAGGGGTTTGCAGATGGCAACGTAGCGGTCATAGGCCATGACAGTGAGAAGAGAATACTCTGCTGTGACAAACAAGACAAACGCAGAGACCTGGGCAGCACATCCTGCATAGGAGATGGTCCTGGTGTCCCAGAGGGAATTGGCCATGGATTTGGGCGCAGTAGTGGAAATGGAGCCCAGGTCGAGTAGGGAGAGGTTGAGGAGGAAGAAGTACATGGGGGTGTGGAGGTGGTGGTCACAGGCTATGGCGGTGATGATGAGTCCATTGCCCAGGAGGGCAGCCAGGTAGATGCCCAGGAAGAGCCAGAAGTGCAAGAGCTGTAGCTCCCGTGTGTCGACGAAGGCCAGGAGGAGGAACTGGGTGATGGAGCTGGTATTGGGCATTTTGGCCCTCTGGGTGTGGGGACCTGCAAAAAGGAAATAAAGGAAGTGAGAAATTAGAGCAGATTCCCTTTTCAAGAATACCTTCCATGAGCTCAAGTTCACGCTGGCTGGGGTTGCCCCAGGGAGCAGGAGGCTTTGCTCTGGGCTCTGCAGGAGCCTGTCCTGCCCTACAGCTGTAGGTAAAGAGGAACACAGGTTGATATCAGTTTAAATCCACACATAATACCAAAGAGCTTTTCAGGATTGTTGCTCAGATTTCACCTGACTGCAGAGAAGAGATGTGGGGATTTTGTTTTGTGTCTTCTTTTCCAGTTGCCCCACCACAGCTGAGGAGTGGTTTTCATGCAGAAATCCCTGGCATTTCTGCTGCACTGCCAGGAAAATCTTGTGGGTCCTGAGAGGCAAAGGGACTGTCCCTTAGTGCAGAGGGAGGACAGCCTCACTGTCCATCAGCCCTGGGCTCAGCTGCCCTGTGCTGGCAGCTCTTTCAGCTGTAGGACTAGCACACTTGGGGGGTCCCCCAAAAGAAACAGGGCACTGCTGGGAGCAGAGGAATCCACTTTCCAAGTGCAGATCTCCAAAGCCCTCAGCCCATCATACCTGAGGAGGATCTCAGTTCTGCCCTCCCAACCAGGGACACCAAGGGCTCATGGCAGCTGCCCACCTACAGCCACACAGCATCATTACAGTGGCCTCAGCCCGTGGTTTCTTCTCTGTTGAGCAGTTGGATAACACAATGATTCAATGGGACAGTTATGAACTTCTGGAGGGAAGCATGCAGCTCAGCACGGCACCCCCAGGCAAAAAGTCAAATGTCCTAAAGATGGGATGTCCTGAAAAGAGGGTCAGATCTTTTCCAGCCTCACACATCATAGCACCCAAAGCTACAAAGTTTGGGAGGGGTTTCGTTGCTTTTCCTCCATGGAAAAATCGGCATGACAGGACCCATAGTGACGGTGTCTCAGCTGAACCAGGATCCTCCCCCCTCTCTTTTTGGTCAGGCTGCTGGGAAGGCAACTGATGGCCAAGTCCTTGTGACACTGAGGGTGGGGAGCAACGCTGTGTGGGAGAGGAGACCAGGGAGCTGCTCTGGGGAAGGAGCTTGCTCTGCAGGGGATGGCAAGGAGGTCCCCGAATCTCCCGTCCCACCACATTTCTAGCATCTCCTCCATCTCCCTCTCTGAAAGTATCTCTTCTGCTGGGAGCTGTCTCTGCTGGGAACTGCTCTGTGCCCAAGTCTCTTCCTTGTCAGTGCTCAGAGAAAGATTCCCATCCCACTGACTGTGTGCTCAGCTCTGCCCTGCAAACCCCTCCTGGCAGCAGGGAACTGCTTGGGGGGCATCTCTGTCTGTACAGGGGATAAGGAGCAGCTCAGGTAAGTCCTCAAGAGAATGGGGATCTCTGCATCATCTCAAGAGCAGAAAAATAAACTCCCATCTCCCACTTCCCACCCAGCCAACCAATAGGACAAATCTCAAAGCACAGACTCCTTCCCTCTCAAGTAATGCCCACTTTGACCATCTTATTGAAAGGTCGCCTTGGAAATGTCCCAGGGTGATCCCCATGGATGCAGGGACCCTCCTTAGAAGGACAGTCCTGGGCAATCCTGGCTGCACACCCGGCTTTGTACCCTACAGTCATCCCTAAGACAAAGAAACCATCATTCACCATCCTACTGACAGTGCAGCTGGGAAGCCCTGCTCAAGACCACATCCTCCTCCTCTATGCTAGGGAAACTGTGATAAATCTCCTCCCAGATCCTACAGCCTGTGGGATGCACCCAGCACCCGGAGATGCCTCTACGAACACCAGATGCAATGCTCTGCAGTTACAGACTTACCATACAGAGGGCTGTAAAGACTTCTTTCCCAGTGAGCTCTCAGCATCCTCCCACCCCACACTGCCTTTAACCATTCACTGCCTTGCTCCTCTCCCCTTGGTGCCTGCAGGCAGTGCCCTCAGCCCTGCTGTGCTTGGCAGAGGAGCTGCTCCTGGGCAGAGCTGTCTCTCTGCAGTGCTGCCCACTCTCCATGAGCTCCCTCCATCCCAGGAGCCCAGCCC